GTAAATGAGACCAAAATTAAGTGTGTGCGGGGACAGAACAGGTTTCATGGAAGAACATATTCTACTGAGTTTGTAAGTCATCATTTGAAGCATAGTACCCATTCATGCAAATGCTTATCTAGGGCCACTATCTCCTAGGCATTGGAGACTGGGAAGAGGAAATCTGCATTACTGGCCTCAGCAAAATAGGAAAGCATCATACATGCACACAGTTAGGATATACATCATCAGTGGCATTTAGCTGGTGTGCATTGTTAGGAGTGTATTTGTTAATGAATGTGATCAGCATCTCTGGGATGAATTTGTAATGTAAGGAGTCTTGGAGAAAGTGGCATTTGCCTGGCTAAGGCATCTGTAGGCAGTACTCTAGTGGAGGACCAGAATGATGGCTGAAAAGATAAACTAGACAACATTGCCAAAGCAGTAGAAAAGTATACTGCTTTAGTGGATAGCAGCAAGGAGATGTGATGCCAGTTATGCACTGGGAGAGGGAAAGGCATAGAGAACTCTGATGTCTTTCGGATTTGTGTAACTAAGTGGATAGAAGCAGGCAGAGGAGAGGATCTTATGGTAGATGTGGAATTTGGGGTATCTGTATGTTACCAGGAAGCGATGTACAGAAGTAGCAACAGTAGGTAAGACAGAAGCTGCAAAATTAGGTGGTGTTCATGGCATTGTTTTAGAGCTAGTACCTGCTAAATGTGCCCTTAAGAGGTCAGGGTACATGTAGCTCCATGGCACAGTGTCTGCCTGGCAAGTATGAGATCATGAATTTGATTCCTGGTATAAAAAAAAAAAGGCCCTTTCACCAATGTGGGAAAAATAATTTCTATGAAGTCAACTTAAAGTACTCTACAAAGCTACTGTGATAAAATTAGCATTTTATCACATCTGTCATCTTAACTGTTGGTGGGAGTGTAAACTGGTAGAACCACTGTGAAGAACATGTGAAAATTCCTCAAAAAACTAGAATTAGAGGTCTCATTCAGGTCAGCTATTCCTCTTCTGGGTATATTCCTGGAAGAGTTCAAAATAGCATACCACAGCAAGATATGCTTTTCTCACTTATGTTTATAGCAGCACAAATTGTGCTGCTATAATAGCTAAATATTGAAAAGAACCCATATGCCATCAACCAAGGAATAGATAAATAAAATGTGGTATTTTTATACAATGGAGTACTACTGTGCTATAAAGGATAAACTTGAGACTTTGAAGTTGTATATGGATACAACCCGAGACCATACTCATAAATGAAATAAATCAGACTGTCATGCGTAAACATCATATTATCTCCCTAGTGTAAGAAACTCAAAGAGTAAATGAGTTCCAACATGTACAATACATGTTGTGAAAAGGGAAGAAACTTCTGAAAAGAACAACTAGGATGGAGCAAAGGAGAAAAGAGGAAGGAAAAAATACATATACACAAGACAGCTAAGATAATTACACTAATTTCTGTTCATGCATTGAAAAGAATAATTTGTGCTTATGTTGATCAATTTTTCATGCTTATATCTTGTAATCTCATGCAACTACTTTAAAAATAACAATACTCATATTAACCATTGCAGAAAAGTCAACTTACTCCTCTTACGTGGTAGGTAGATGAATTAACATTTTGACAGCATCTTTTAACTGAGGCTACTTACATGACATTAGCAGGACTGGCTTGGACTTAATTTGGGCTCAAGGATGCTCTGCATTTAAGTAATTCCATAGATGACATATTCAGCATGTGACAGAAACACAAAAGCTGAACATAACGAATTGAACTGTTCTGCCTAGTATTTTTTTTTTCCCACTGTGAGTAGGAAGTACAAGTTTAGCTACATTTCTGACTGTAGGGGTGTGTGTGTGTGTGTGTGTGTGTGTGTGTGTGTGTGTGTGTAACTAGGGATTCAACCTGGGCCTTTTAAACGGGGTTAACTCCCCCGTTTTTTTTTTTTTTTTTTTTTTTTTATTTTGAGACAAGGTCTTGCTGACACTAAATTGCCCAGGCTGGGCTGTACTTAGGGTTCTGCCTCAATGTTCCAGAATGGTGGGATTTCTAGGAGTTTGCCTTAAATCTCAGAGGAAATTGTGGACTTGGACTTCTCAGCAAAGATGAAACTGTTAGAACTTTGGCAACTTTTGGAGAGAGACTAAAAAATGCCTTTTGCATAAAGGGATGTGTATGAGTTGTTGGGGAGCTAGGAGCAGAACGTTAAGCTTTGTGTCTAGATGTCCCTTTCGTGTGGTCATAGGTGAGGCTTTTCCTGAGGCAGTTGGATCTAGAGTGTGTGATTGAGTCATGGTGCAATGCTAGGACTAAGGGTGGGAGATCACTAAATCAGTCCATTGGTTCGTTTGGCACAGCCCTAAAACTGGTAACCTGGATATAATATAGGGGACAAAAAGACCCTGTTAGGGTCCCTTGTTGCTTTTGCTACCTTGTGGGAACCATGAACTGCTCTCTGTGATGCCCCTCTGCTGAGCCACCCTACCTTGGAGCCAGCAGTTTATAGACTGAACCCTCTCCAAACTGTGAGCTAAATAAACCTTTCCCCCTTTAACTTCGGGTGTCAGGCATTTTGCCTCAGAAATAACAGAAAAGTAAGACTTTGGTATCAGAGAAGTGGGACTGTTGCTGTGACATTACCTGACCTTGTGGCTCTAGAGCTTCTGGAACTGGTATTGTGGGAAGGGGAAGAGTTAAGAAAAATTTGTATATTTCAGCTTAAAAAGTAGTATTGAAACCCTGACGGCTTTACTTCATGGGAAATTCTGGCTGAGCTCTGAAGACCAGAATGCTGATAGAAATGCCTCTGGTAAAGGCTAGGATTGGGAGGTTTTTGCTGAGAAGGACTGCACTGTCTGCTGAACTTCAAATGATGTGTGTTATATCTTGGGAGAAAGCTTGTTGGCATTTTGCTGGTCTCCAGAGACTTTGTTGAGACAAAGATTAAAGGTGGTAGACAAATTATTTTATGGCTTGTGTCTGTATGTCCCCCAAATCCTCATGTGATCATAGCTGGGGCTTTCTTTGGAGGTGGCTGGATCTAAAGTGTATATACCGGAATTGATTCATGGTTCAGTGGCAGGCTCAAGGGTACTAGGAGTAAGGGTCTGAGTGCTGCCTGCCCTTGTAGTCTGGATAAGGTAGAAGGGGTACAAAGATGCTGCTACGGCTGCTTGCTGCTTTTGTTATCTTCCACCTGCCATGAAGTGTTGCTCTCTTGTCATGTGCTGCCCTGCGGTGCAGCCAGCTGATTACAGACTGGAACTTCTGCGAACTCAGGCAAACAAACCTTTCCTCCTTTACTTTGGGTGTCTCAGCAAAGAGAGAAGTAGCTGTAACTGTGCTCCTGTTCTTTTCTCTCTTCAGGACTTTCTGTGCAATATTATCAGGACAGTGAAAACAGCCACAGACCTGGGCAGCAGTGTAGGATTTGTCCTGTAGAAGCCGACTGCATTTGAAAAGACTGGTCTAGTTTAGCAGGAAAACCCTAAGTGCAGTCCCAAGCTTATGCTTTGACTGTACTACAAACTTTCGTTGACTGATAACAACTGCCTAGTTTAAACACTGTTGATGTTGGGCACATTACGAAGATTCAATCTTAGCATGCAGTTAATTAAAGCTTCCACTCTAATTCTTTCCTAATCTTAATCTTTATTTAATTATACTAATAGGTCACTACTTTGAAATATTCACTGTTTCCTAGGAAAGACCACAAACTCTTTGGAAGCAACTAGTATCGTATGGTTATACACAGATTAAATACAACTAGGAGAGTAATATGTGGTGTTTAATCTGGGCTAAAATTCTGTATGTACCTCATTTTACAGCACTAGTTCATGAAAAACAAAGAGTTAATGAGATTTACTTTCTAATTTATTAATATCTTATGTTTCTAGAATAGCTGGTAATTTAATGACCATAACAGATACATTGAAAATTTGCTGACCCAAGGAGCTAACTTGGAAAACAGAAATAAGCATGTTTAAAGGATTCTGTATTGACTAAAAGTTTGTGTGATTCTAAATGACCCAGGGTTTTACAAGTGCTTACAAGTTGATAAAGCCACGAACTTTGACCCAGATATCACTGTAAGGTATACCAATGATGTTTCATTTCTTTTCCTCTCCCTTCCTCTCCCCTCCCCTCCCCTCCCTTCCTCTCCCCTCCCCTCCCCTCCCTTCCTCTCCCCTCCCCTCCCCTCCCTCTCTTTTAGTAGAAAGAGGCTGGTTTTGTTGTTTTGTTGTGAAGACTAGGATTAAATGCAGGGCCTTGTGAATGCTACGCATGTACCCTATCACTGAGTTATATCTCTGCCCAAAAAGCTGGGTCTGAATACTATTCTGACACTTCAAAGCACTGAAACTAGGCAAAAGTAATTTGTTATCTGTGAGATTTGTGTTCTTTACCTTTCAATACCAAAAAAGAGTACTGTATACTTAAAATCCTATTATAAGATTAAAACATTAATAAAGGTACTTTATTCCTACTAATCAAGGAAACTATTTTGAAAAGTTTTTTCCCTAACCAGTGTTGGCTGAAATTCAGTCTTCAGTCTTTATTTATTTTAAAATAAAAGCACCTAATCAGTCAAATCAATTACATTAATTTTTGTTATTGAAACAAAAAAGCAGAGAAAGCATGCACAGCCATCTTCATAGGCTGAGAGGCAACAGTGTTTTCCACTCAGGAGACTGTGCAGTAGGAGAACCAGGGGTCTTGGCAGAGTGTGACCAGTTATTGAACTGTACAGAGGGAGGTCTGGCGGGGCACACCTCATCCCGCACCAGGAGGCTGAGGCAAGAGGATGAAGTCTCTGTCTCAGCAGCTCCCCAGCCCCTAACAGCCTTACACAAAACACCACATTTTGCACATCTGTACATTAGAAATCACATGTATTTGTCCCAAGGTAGCAAAAGGCATTTTAAAAATTGTCTTTGTATTTTTATAGCAATTCAGCAGAAGCTGTGTCTGAATTTTACAATGAAGAAAGGATACATACTCATCATGAACAATGGTGGGGCCATCCCGTGTCAAGGCCTCTTCCTTGATGACATTGATGAGTTCAAAGGTGCTGCTTATGGGGGCATCTGGGTTAGGCCATTTGGGACACTGAAAGTGCCGAACTTCTAGGACATAGTCATCCTAGAAACAACACAACACATGTCACAGTGCATCTTTACGCGATGTGCCTACAGTCAGGTGAATGGAACTTGCCACTTAGGAAGCATATATTACAGACAACTCCGAACATGCGAGGTTACCCAGGGCACTGGTGAGAAGAAAAATACAAGGGAGGTCTGCCTGTGTTAGGAAGATGAGTAGGTTATCACCAATGAAACAAGACATTATTTTGTCATTTAAATTATTTTTTCTCATTTACATATTTTATTTGGAAGTGTTTACACCAGGACAGTGAAACTAAACTTTAGAGAGAATAGATGTCATTAGTTTAGATATTATCAGTTTATTATAAAAGAGACATGGAATTTATGTACATGATGAAAGACGGCAGAACTTCAGTGGAATGGGCAGCACTGTGTGACCGCCCATTGTGACTTCAACAGTGATTTACTTCACTCTATGTATTTTCCAAGAATGTCACCGTCTCTAAATAGGAAGTAATCCTTGTCGTCTAGAACTACTTTGGTGCCTCCGTATTCTGCAAGAAGTACTTTTCTCCAGCTTTCATACTAACTGGTTGGATCTCTCCACCCTTTTTTTCCCCTCAGAGCCAGACCCCACAGCTACCACAGTTGCCTGCAGCACTTTGCCTTGAGATTTTTCTGGAAGCATAATGCCTCCTTTGATGACATTTTTAGCTGCGCTCTTTTCAACTAATACGTGGCCAAACAATGGGAGAAACTTCTGAAACGCCTGTCCTGCCATGGCTCCTGCCCCGCAACTCACTCCACTACCATGCCACCTCTGCAAACAGAAACCCCTTCAGCCCCTGGACACAGACAATTTAAATTATTGCAGGGATTCCTCCTTTATCCTTTCCTCAGAAGACAGCTACTCAACATTGAAATAATAATGTGTATTAAAATATCCTTAATCATCCCTGCAACATCTTGCAAGGTTTCCATTTCCAGTGACAAAGAAAATACTGAGTGTAGTATATTATTTTTGGAATTAGGTCAACAGACCTATTTATATGCATGTTGAATCAAAGGAACTGTTAACTTTCATCTTGCCAGCTGGAAAAGGCAAATAGTTGAAGAAAGAAGAGAGGGAACTGTACATATTTAAAGTGGAATCTTACTCAAATGCCTAGGTTCTTTGAAGGTAGTAAATTAATCCATTATTACCTAAAGGATGTCAGACCCAAGTATGGCTTTTACAGAGGAAGTGAGGTTCAGCTCACCTGTGTTGCCTCAAGGATAAAGTCATGGATGATAATTTGTTCTTCGTTAGAGAGGCATAGTCTGTCTTTGCTGATAAGGGTGACAGTAAAAGCCTCACAGTTCATGGATTCTTCTCGACTTGGCCAGTAGACAAACTCATCTTCTGCCTTTGAGAACAAAAAAATTTTTTTTTTATTTTCTTGCAGAATTTTTTATTCTGCCATTTTTCTGTACTTGTCAAGCTATCTTTTGATCAGTTTATAGAACTATATCTCCATCTAGTCACGCTGAACTCAGTGGTTATTATATCCTACTGTGAAACTATGTTTTGATGACATCCGTTTCCTAGCACCTCTCACCTATCACAGTAACAACCCCAGCATGGGCTCTGTAGGCATGTATTGCTGTTAGTTGGCAAGTGTTCTGGATAGTAAGCAGCATACTGAAAGTGGAGATTATATCTAGATCAGTTAATTATATTATTTTATAGATGCTTCAGCAGTTAAGACAGGCTTGTGTTTTATTCCTGTGGAGCACAGTAACAGTGCTATGGTTGAGCACCATTTTGCAGAGTATCTTGATAAACATTATTTTCCTGAATTTTTAAAATACATTTGTAAGATAAAGATGCTTTAAAAATACATTTTATTGTGTAGAAAGTATATAAAATGATGCTATATGATACACACACAGAGAAAGATGGTAAAGGGCTCCTTTTAGTAAAAAAAACAAAACAAAACTGTGTTACAGATATTTTTGGTTGGAAGAACAGGTAATATCTCACCTAGCATAAATTCCAAACATAGCATAATTACCTGCACTCTTTATTAGCTCTTTAGGATTTTCTACTGTATACATCTGCTACTTTGTATCCTTTTACTTACATCTTCCTGTTTCCTTTCCCATCCCATAACTGCTATTTTGTTTTTTCTACACCTTTGAATCTATTACTTATTTTTTTAAGTTTGGTGAGATCACGTAATAGTTGTCTTCTCATGTCTACCTTAGCATGTTTTCCGTGGCCATCCACACCGCGGCAAATACAAGACCTCATTCTTTCTTAGGAGTGGATGCTATACCCCTGTGTTTCTTTACCATAGTCTTTGCCCATTTGTACACTGGCAGACAGTGATGCTGCAGTCATTGTAGGAATTCAGTCAGATAGGTTTACATGGTGGTGACTTCATTTTATTTGCCTACATACAGTTTTTTTCATTAGTGTGGATTGAACCCACGGCCTTGTGTGTGCTAGCACTTTGGTGGTGAGCTACATCTGAAGTCCTGGTGGTCCTAGTTTTGATTTTATTGAACCCCTGTCCTCTTTTCCATAATGACTACGCCTAGCCACAGTCCCATTGACAGTGTGAGAGTTCCCTTTTCTCCACACTATCACCACCCTTGTCATTTGATTTCTAGGTTAGCTCTCAGCATAATAATATAAAGTTGTAGATCATAGTTATTTTGATTTGTATTTCCTAGATGATTAATAATATTGTGTATCTTTTCATACATTTGCCGGTCATTTGTATATCATTTGCAGATATATCTGTTTGAGTCTCTTGTTCATTTCTTATTAGGTATAGTCATCTTACTACTAATGGGCTATATCCTTTCTTTGAAATTTTAAATAGTGCCTCTAAATAAGCAACTTTTAATTCTCTGCCTTTATAGATGAAGACATGTTCAAAGTTGTCCAATGTTGCTTAAAATCATACTGCTAAAATTGGCAAAGGGGCTGGGGAGATGGCTCAGTGGAATAAGCGCTTCCCTGACAAGTGCAAGAGCCTGAGTTCAATCTCTGGTTCAAAAAAAACAACTAAAAAAAACTGGCAAAGGGCAGCCTTTTTGGAAAGCAGCTGTGCATAAGTATGATGTTGGCTATAAGTACAAGGTATTAATTAAAAGAAAATTTAACCTGTCTCAGATTTCAAGAGGGGATAACAAAAAGTCATGTTTCATTGAAGCAAGCTTCACAGTTCATCTGTTTTAAGATAAGAAATAGATATTCAGTATTGGTACTTGAATTCTATCTCTGAAAACTATGGATGCCTAAGAAAAAATTCTCACATAGGTTGGAGACTGTGAAAAATATGATCATGTACACCCGTCTCCATTTTTTTAATTAGCTCAAATACCAAGCCCTAGTTGCCTGTAGGATGTAGTATTTTATAGGCACTCTCCTGGAAATGACTAGCTACTATCATTAAAGTGAGAAATGATTCTGAATAATGTTCAAAACAAGGTTTTGTTTAATCTTGCATTGTTGCATTAGAAATGAGCCAACAGTCCAATAAGACTCAGCACCCTTTCAAGTAGCTTACTGCCAAGTACGTTATTTTTAAAGCTCAGTGTTAAGGGGAAACTGGGGGTTTAATCTGCACAAAAATCTTACATTTTTCAGGTTTAATACATTCTGTTGAAAGAAGTGGAAGTATGACCATATAAACAGATATTCGCCAAATAAAGTAGTCATGGACAGAGCATCTCAGTTTAATGAGTTATGCACAGATTAAGCATATAGTTTAATTAGGACTCGACATGATTCTGGATAAATTGGTTAATCTTTCTGAGTATTACTGTCATTGTACTACAAAGAAATGTTAGGATGATAATACTGAATAGGAATTATTTAACTAGTTTAAAAGGTACCAAACAGATTTTAATTACAGTGAAAGGAAAAGAAGAAAATGGCTTTTGAATACAGAAACTGAATTGGGAAACCACCATCCATCCCAAAAGGTCAAGAACATTAAATGCTACTGCTTTATTCAGCAGGCATTCAGGTCTTGGGTTCACTTTTCTGACAAATGTAATTGTAGATCCACGGCACAGATAAGAGTGCCGTCCGAGTTAGGGACTGGTGAGCTTTGGGCCTGTCTGTACAGACATGTAGTCTTGTACGGGGACAGTTGTAACACATAGTATGATGAGAATAATCTAGCGATGCAATTTTTTTAGGGAAAACTGCAATTGTGAAAGTTTTGATCCAGGAGCTGAGAAAGTAGTCACGCACCCATCTGGTATCTCTTCAGATATTGGGGTGATGGGTCTCATGTCAGTCCCTGTGTCGTCACACTCTGTCAAACTGTACCCCCAGTCTCTCTCCCTCTAGCCGTTTCCACACAAGCGAGTGCCTTTGTAGATGCTTTATGGTGGTTGTGCTCTGGGCTTAGGTACGAAGAACAGAACACTGACTCATTCAACAAATGAGCGTTTCCACGGCCCTACATGCCTCCAATTCCCATATGCCAAAGAGAACAGACCCCTGTTGCCAGCTAATTTGAAAATTTGCACTCCAGCATTTATGTTAAGATGCTGAACTTTGTTGCCATTCCATCATCCAGAAGCAGTCTTGGTATTCTGAAGCTGGAGCAGAATGCGACAAAGTGAAGAAGTTCCTACGTCTGGGCACACAGTCAAATGCATGTCATCTAGACTAGGGTTCAGGCACAGGCTGTTCCTTGTTGATCAGAGTCCTCATTATATGATGACACGAAGCCTGATTCTCCTTGTTTTTTGTTTTCGTATTTCTCTTACGGGCTTCCATGTCCACAGAGTAACTACGTGGACAAGACCCAGCTAGTTCTGAGATGTAAGGAAGAATGAATTTATTGAAGCTCATGTCACAAATTTATGCAGATTCCTCCAGAGTTCAGAGACTTCAACAGAGAAAGACTAAGGCAGGGGACAGACATGGTGGTTTGGTCAAAAGTCTACTTGTTATACCCAAATAGCCGTTCCTACCACTTGCCTGCAGTGTGCCTGACTTGACTGTGGAACAGGAAGAAAAACACTGAAACATTATTAGTACTTCAGATAAAATGTTTCTCCTGAAAAACACTTGTATGTTGTGTAGTGGGACATACATAGTAAAGGATTAAAAGCAGGGACTCTGAAGACAGATGACTGGTCACATCCTGGCTCCAGTAGTTTCTGCATGTTCTTAGGCAAGTTGCTTCCTCAATTTTCTCAGCTCTTAAGTGAGATAGTACTAGTGTGTGTGAAAATTGAGTTAATTATGTTTGTCCAAAATACCATACAGCAGACAGGAAATCAGTTTATAGTCTTACTAATGAAACCCTTAAAAGAATCTTTACATCCTTCTAACACATGGCACAATGAAGAACAGCTGAAGGGTAATGGTACCAGGAAGGTGTACTGTAATTCTGTGAGGTGAATCTGTAGTCTTCAAGTGTACATTTCTTCCCAAGCCCGCTAGCGCTATGGCACGGGGTCCAGGGCGTTGTGTTCACTTCTGTTCCTAGCATGCAGGGCTCATTAGTATACAGCAGATGCGACTCACTCACCAAGCTCTGGTTGTCTGGCAGCATGACAATGATCTGTGCGTTATGATCCCAAATCATTCGCCAGAAGTCTTTCGTAGTATGCGGCAGCGGATGCTGGGTTATAATAAATTCATTGCTCCTGTAATACCCCTTCATTTGGAAGAGGAAAAATCAGTGATTATAGGTATTTTAGTCTTAATTTGTGGTGATAAAATAAATTTATGAAACAAAACAACATTGTTTTGACCACACTAAAATAAACTGAGAAAGGCATTCAGTAATTTTCAGATATACTTCTGCTAACACCGTACAGTTTTCTCTCTGTATGCAGTTTATTACGAGTCACCCCTGCTGCTTTTCTTAATAGTAATTTCAACATTTATTCAAAGACTAAGTGGGGTGAAATTAACAATAAATTCCTTAAGCATTTTTCTTCATTTAGACATTCTTATACTCCTGCTGTCTGGCAATCTTCTGTTAAAAGGCTGAAAATATAGGAATCTCTATACTTGTAATATTAACACATTGAGAAATTATTTCAGAAGTGAAATCAGTCACATAGCTGGTATCCATTCTTCCATATTTTTTGGTTTAATTGGCTTTATTTCTGATTAACAGTTGACTCTCACCATGATGTAAGAAGCATTAATGTAATCTGTTCCTTTCATTCCGGGCAAAGGTGCAAGACCCACTCGAGCTCGCTCAGCTATTGCATGGAAAAAACAAGAGTACATTCATCATGCATAGGAACCAACAGCCCATTCAGAGGTTTACTTAGTGAGTAACATAGCTCCCTGCCACTCTGTTCTAAGACTCACCTATGCAGTATGTTTAAACAAGCTAAGATGTTAGCATGGGTGGCAGAGTACGACATGAAATGCTGCTGCACACACCCAGGACACAGGTGGTGGAAAAAGGAAATGTTACTGAGGGAGAGGTTTTCACAGGAAATCACTGACAGAGTACTGCACTGCATATTGTAGGACTGATACTCCTATACTTAACACCAGTATGCTGGCCTTTCAACCCTATCTTTCTGCCCATGAACTACTGAGAAAACAGTGGCCTTCTCGGTAGTGATAAATCTCTCCCGTGCTCACCTTACTGTGCCCGCAGTGCATACAGTGTCCTCTGTGTTGTCCTGAGTTATTTGTACAAGGGTCACCGCCAATCAGTAGTGCATGGGTTTCATAGGATAAGTCAATGATGTAGCACCAATTATATAGTTAATCCAGGTAAGTTTTAAAGAAGTGCTAATGCTGCAGTGGTGACAAGTTTGGTATAATTTTTAAGTTGAAATATGGTAGAAATAAACACATTCTTGTCTTTTGAGGGGAATTGAAGCTAGATTTCATGTCATGTAGAAGGAGTGACTTGGTAGCAGCAGGAGCTGCAGCATATACTTGTCTCAAACTCACTTGCTACACTACATATAATGTCACTTTAGTAGTAGAAGCCTCTTTACATAAAAGTAGTTAATAAAATCTGAACACTGTGAACCTAGTCAACTGATTGTAAGCTCTTACATGGGACGACTGAAGAGTTTCTGTTCTTTTCTTTGTTACATTCCTTCTGAGCACTGAAGCATTCCACGTACTTTGCGTTACACTGTGTGACAAGCTAGAGAAAAAATGACATGTCAGTCTTCATTCAAGGTCATAATTGATAGCGCCTGTTTTCAAAATTTGGAACAGTACCAATAATCAGATTATTACCCAATAACCACATTTTTTGTTGGTGACAAAGAGTGCACTTGTCCCTTACCAGGGTACTGGTGTTAGTCATCTTGGTTGTGTCCTTGTATAACTTCTGTCAGGTGCTAGGCTCCTGGAGTACTAGTACAGGGTGTGCAGTGTTGATTGAACTTTGTGGATTTCTGTGTTGCCGGTTATAATTGCTGTTGTGAATTTTGTTGTAATTCCTGAATGGCACGTAAGATGCTAGAATGCCTATACTAGAAAAGACTGTTTAGTTCTATTACAGGTGAAATAATGTTCCCAGAAGGTAAAGGACAACTTAGGTTCTTAGTACTTTTGTGTTTAACTGAGCTGTTCCAAGGCAGTGGCAGCAAACATATGGCACCCAGGCTGCAGGGGGCTTGTCTTTGTCCCTGGAAGTTCTAAAAGGTTCATCAGCAGTGTTGTAAGGCCATTACGAATGATGATCCCAATAGTGTATTTTCATGTGTGTAGTATGGTTGAACCATTTTGTGAATATTATATTTTTGTGGTGATGGGTGGGGCAATCCATTTTAATGTTGTGATACAGGACTAGTGAGCTTTATTGTTACTGTTAAGGCCCTAGAAGTAATTTTCCATTTTGTTTTATTTGAATTGTGAACTGTTTGGTGCTTGAAAAAGAGTCATTACCTGGTTACCAACAGAATGGACATATTTATTCTATGTATTTTTCTTTTTTTTTTTTACAGTACTGTATGTAAACAAAAACACAGTTGAGAATCCCTTGTCAGAAGTGCTGGGCACCAGCAGTGTCTGATTCTTTGTGGGACTAGTGTCACTTATCTTGCTTGTGTCCTTGTAGAACTGCACACATATGCTGTCTGGGGGACAGGAATCAAGAAATTTATATTTCATATGATAGCCTGAACATAATCTTCTAAACATTTGAAATAATGTTTTGCATGAAATTAAGTTTCATGGTATGGAATATTCTGTTTGTGGCATGATGCTGACCTTTAAAGTTTTAGTTTACAGCATTTAAATAATTGTTCTGCATATTATTTTATGTGTATATAATTTTTCAAGATGGAGATAATGAGATGAGTCCCCTGTTTAAATTGTCATGGTAAAATGTCCATAAATTTCAAAAATTGAGGTTGAAATGATGCCGCAGAAATAATAAAAGGGGCAGAACTTAGGAAATGTTGCCATAAAATATTTGTAGAACCTCATTTTAAAACGTTTAAAACGGTGCATTTAAAAAGCTTTCATGATTATATTCAGTGATTTTATACTAGTTAGGATGTTGAGAAGAGAGCTAGACATTAAAAATTATTGTTAGGACTAAACTCAGTAAAAGTAATCTTTCTTATTTAATATTTCTTGATGTAATTTGTTTAGCAGTCTTATTTCTTTAGTGGAGAGTCAAATGAAGGTTTCAGAGTCCATGGAAAGCTTTATCATGAAAAGTAAAATTGAATTGATTTCTCTTATCCTTTTAATCTTGACAAAATTAGAAATTATCTACATATATAGCAGGATACAAAAAAGAAATAGAATTAAAAAAATAAAAAAATAATAATAAGAAGAAAGCATTTAGCAATTGGAAAGACACCATTTCAGTTACAATTAATTATTTGAGCTTTGCCAGTCTTTGTTTGTTTGTTTGTTTGTTTGGTGGAACCGGGAATTGAACTGAGGTCCTTGCGCTTGCCAGGGAAGCGCTTATTCCACTGAGCCATCTCCCCGGCCCTTTTGCCAGTCTTAATTGCTCTCATAGTCCTTTTACTTTGTGTTTCAGCTTCATGTCAGTTAATCCATGCGAACCTTAACTATCTCTACTTCCTCATGTCTCCATCAAAGAAAGTAATAACTATTGCAGGAAAAGTTACTCCCCTATAGTATTGTTAGACTTAGTAGCTTTTGGGGGGTTTTCAGATTTCTTCTGGAGTAGTTTTTGAAATAGGCATAATTTGAGAATGACCTATCTATAAATAACCCGTACTAACAGTGGTGTTATCCGGTATTTCAGAAAAGAGGTTTTTGTGTTGTTTTCTTTTTTGACTAGCGCTGACTCCAAGTCTTACGCCACCGTGGCTAGACGATGCTGTTCATGTTCAAGTTAAGCGATAAACTGCTCAGGAAGAAAGGTAGCATCACACCCTGACTTGAATGTTAGCAATGATACTAACATGGGGGCAGCTTTGTACTCCTTCAATGTAATGAGATGGAAAATAAACAGAAGTTCGTATCAAGCTGACCTTAATGCTACTAAGACCCCAAACGCGAAGGCATTTTTCTACCCTCTTGCTTTATGCTAAAGGAATTCCACAAAGCACTACCTTGAATTGTTTCTCCAGTCGTGTCTTTCCTCCTACTCCAGGTATGAGGATGCTGTTAACGTAGCTGTGCAGCTGACTTGAAGATACTTCAGTTTCATTCCCAAGAATGGCCTCCAACAAGGCATCATGGATGAAAATGTACTGCTCCTACAAGGTACAGTCAATGGGGTCACCAGGGAGAGCTGTTCAGGGTAACCCGCAGTCCTTGAAGTCTACCACTGGGACCTCCCAGTGAATTCCTGCAAGCATTAGCAGCCAGGGGGTCTGCCTCAGTACTCACTGCCCTATCCATACCAATTTGTTTCAGGGTAGTGACTGTTAAGGTTCCTCTGTGTTCCACACTTTGCTAGGAATGGTGGTGTCCTTTATGTTCCTGAGGCCCGAAAACATACCTAGCTCCTCATAACACCTAATGCAACTGTATCTCATACCTAAATGCTGTGTAGTTATCGAGCAGTCCAGATTCTCAAGTTCACACGGAAATAGGAAACTGATCTGAAAACAGATCCTATTTTACCCCACACTTCTCCATTCCCTTCAGTGTAAGAGAATGAATCTGTTTCCCCATCACTCACCCTTCAGGGTAAGCGTGTGCTGGCGTCACCGAGGACCTGTCCTTACCTCAGTCTGGACGAGGTAGTTGCGCTGTGTCCTGATATGCTTCAGGAATCCCAGGACGTTAACTGTGCTTTTGTCTTTTATCTGTTGTAGCATGCTGTCTATGACAATGTAAGTGCCTGTCCTGCCCACACCAGCGCTGTAAGAAATAAAGGCTCTCAGCTAGTGCTATTAAACCAAGGGCTGCACAAATGTCAGTGTAAATGTATAAGGAACTTAGAAATAATGTGATGTCTAATGACGTAGTATAAATGACACAGTATATTTATCTCTAAATATCACTTAAAATAAATGTTATTAGATAAGTGCCACTTCATAGTTTGACAAGAAGCACAGAGTGCCTTTCCGCTGTAGGAGCTGGAAGATAGTCGATGTCTCAGCCTGCTTGGCATGTAGTCAGTGACGCTGTGCCGCTGAGGTGTCAGCAGGGGCAGCCATCCCCACCCCAGAACCAGGCCTCTTCTCTGTTGAGCCTCGTGCCACACTTTCAGGTGTTCCAGTGATTCTGAGGGTAGTCATTATCCTTTTAATAAACCCTTTGCTCTCCTGATCGCTGGGTCTGCCGCTGGTGCATGCAGCTAAGAAACTGACGTTCTCAGTATTAGAAGGATCTTGTTTGATACCTTACTTTTGTAATCTTGGTATAAGAATGGTACATCTAGAAACTTTGGCTTCTCTGTGTCATATTTCTTGCTATTTTAAAAATACCCAGATAGATCTGAATTCTGTAATACTGAGTAAGAAGTGTGTTTTGGCAGAGTGCCCCAGAAGGTTCCCCGTCTCACACGGTACCCGGGCTGTGTGAAAGACTTATCTCTGCCTCAGTGTCTATTAAATGTACTAGTGAAAAATGTACTAGTCGCATTCTTCTGGGATTCTAAGCGAAGACGCGTTCGAGCTTTCATAAAGGCTTGTTTGGTGAAGCACACTGTAAGAGCAGCCCAAAGGCAATGCTTAGAAACTGTTATGCAGTGTTGCACCATCAACTGCAGAATAAGAAAGGCAATTTTATTTTATGGAAAAAGTAGGACACTATTTCACAACAAGGTAGCAGAATAATAGTTATACAGTTCTAAGCAACCATTTTAAGTTGGTTTAGTTGAGAAAGTAGGCTTTCCTCCAGGTTTTCCCAGTGATTTTTTAAAAAAGTGTTTTATATAGTATATGTAAATTAGAAATTTTTAAGTCATGTCATATGTACTATAAATTACTTAGAGAAACACTTCAGAAAAGCTATACACAAAAAGTCAGAATTTCTGGTGTTCAAAACTCTTGTGAGTTCTTTTCTTTATTACAGTTAGCCCTCAGTAACCCTACATAGAACAGGGATTTCATATATACACCCATGTTTATAGCAGCATCATTTGTAATAGCTACATCTTGCAAAGAACCCCAATGTCAATCAACCAAAGAATGGATAAAAAGATGTGGCACATTTATATACAATGGAATACTACTCAGTTATAAAGAAGATAAACTCTTAGGACTTTTATAATGGATGCAACTTGAGACCATACTCGTAAGTGAAATAAATTACACTCATACAGGTAAACAGTGTATCCTCTCCCTGTAAGAGAGGACACGGAAAGTGTAGAGATCCAACATGTACAAGAGGTAATGTAACAGGGAAAGAAAGTGATTAAAAGGAAAGAACAGCTGGGATCAGGGAAAGGAGAAAAGGGAGAAGAAAAAAAGTATACACACACACATAAGATAGGTAAGATAGTTATACTAATAATTTCAGTTAATTCATTGAAAGGAACAGTTAATGTTCATACTGTCTGATCAATTTTTCATGCCTATATGTTGTAATCTAAGCAACTACTTTGAAGATAATATACAATCTACTAACCATCCTATTATTATGTTTTGAAATACCGTTGTTTTTGAAATTTTTTTCTCTTGGAGAAAAAAACAGAACAACAGGGATTGTATTAGAAAGATGAGTTTGAAGCCTGCCATGGGTTCATTTATCCTAGTTTTCATAGGAGGATTTGCCCTCTAAGTAAAGTGAAGCAGCAGCAGCATTTCTGGGGCACAAGAAGAGGCCAGTCCTACCTGCAGTGTACCAGTACAGGGCCCATGTCTGGCGTCCTGGCGGCTGAGGATCTCCTCACAAAGGTCAGGACTGGGAGGGCATACTCAGGAACTCCCATGTCAGGCCACTGTGTGTAGTGGTACTGGATCACTATTCTTTCATTCTGACGGCCCTTAGGATTTCCCTTTTGGCCCTACAAGAAAGGTGTGACAATACATCTTTGATCTAAGGGTGAACATTCTTCAGTTCAGTGCAATATAAAGGGTTAGGAAATAAGACTATCAGGACTCCACCTAGCTTATTTCTTTTTTGTGACTATTATAGTTTGTGTCTAGGTGTCCCCCCAAAGTCCCATGCAGTTGTGAGGTGGGTTTCTATAAGTTGTGTGAGGTAGTCTTTGAACATGATTTGCTATTCTTAATCCAAAATCATATAAATCAAGAGATTCACATTTTTATATTCACCTTGAGAATATAAACTGTTAAAATGCCCAAGCAATCAAGGGTATACATATCTAAAACACCACCAAGTACCTAAAAGATGTCACTTTATAAAAAACAGTATGTGACAATCATAGTTACAGTGGTGGAGGTGGCGACATTTTCTTATATTTCAGTGCCTCTGAATACTGAGACTGGAAGGGTGTCTGGCCTTGAGCTACACATACCCATGATAGATTTTCCTAATTTGTTAACTCTTAATTATCTGCATTTTACTTTTGCCAACAGTGTATGGTAGAGTACCTGAAGCTCTAACGTAAATTCAGAGAACTTAAGCAGTTCTCAAAGGAAGGTTGAGCAAGTTTGTTTGTAAAACTGAAGGATTCTCATGGGAAATGGGCTTTATAAGTTTTATAGTGATAATTGGCTATCATTAGCTACTGCTTGCTTGCTTTATTTATTTATTTATTTATTTATTTATTTATTTATTGTTACTGGGTATTGAACTCAGGACCTCGCACTTGCCAGGCAGGCAGTTGAGCTGCTAAGCTATGTCTCTGGCCCAGTGCTGATTTTCACATATTTCCAGAAGTAATTATACAGAGAAAGTACTGTTAACATTGGATTATACATGCACTTCTGGGTTCCTGAATGGAACCTGAGTAAGTTTTGATTCTTCTGGGGCAGTGACGTTACTATTTTTATCACATTCTTAAGTTCTTAGAAATCCAACATGCCCCAAAACAAAGAATAAAAAGTGATCCTACAAACAGTAATCATAACTGTTCATAGAACAGTCACATCTTCTTTCTTTACATCTATCTAGAGTTCAAATACTGCTGTGATGATCAGAGATTCCTTTTGTGACAGTGGAATTATACGCTGAGAAGTTGAAAGAAGCTTTTCTATACAGTGTGATTTTCAAGATATTACTAGTTCTATAGAGAAGGTATATTTGTGTGTGTGTGTGTGTGTGTGTGTGTGTGGTGTTGTTGTTTTGAGACAGGATCTTGCTGTGTAGTTGAGGCTGGCATTGAGCTTATTTTGCCGCCCAGGCTGGTCTTGAGCTCCCAATGATCCTCCTGTCTCAGCCTCCCAAGTGTTGAGATTACCAGCATGTGCCAACGTGCCCATCCTTATTTGTGTATGTTTTGAAAGTTTGTTTTGTCTTTTGGTTTTCCAAGACACTGAACCTACGATATTTAGAATGAGAAACAGCCACAACCTTTTTAATGTTACTTCACTAAGTTGTTCAGGCTGGGTTTGAACTTACAATCCTCCTGCTGAACTTACAATCAGTCTTCCAGAGTTCTGGCATTACATGTAATGGCTTTCCCAAAACCTAGGAAAAGCACACTGGACACTTGTGTTCTCTATGAATGTCTGGATGTATAGTATATAGCATTTATTTCCCATTCTTACTAGATAACACAACTTTATTTATTTATTTATTTTCAATTTAATTGTGTGTGTGTGTGTGTGTGTGTGTGTGTGTGTGTGTGTGTGTGGCCAGCTCAGCCTGCCCTGGGGGTGGTGCTGGTGCAGCATATGTTACCAGGTTTCTGTGCACTTGCTTAAGCTTGGCTGAGCAGACACTTTAGACTGCTGAGCTATCTCGCTGGCTGGGTAGCACAACTTTTATAAGCATCTTGTACTACTAGTATTCCTTGAAATACTCTTTGGGAAATACTGCTTTAAAACTGCCAGGAAATTGAAATAAAAAACTAAATCAATAGCCAAATGCTGCCATATTTGCTGACTGGAACCAAAACCTAAGAGAATGCCTTTTTTTTTTTTTTTTTTAATGAAGACTTATTCATGAAGAGAATAAAGAACTTAAGCCAATTAATTCTGTTATGTGCTCTAGCTGTACATACTTTGTACAAAATGATGTCAGTCAAGAGAGTCATGAAATTATGAGATTCCATCTCTGTTGTACAGTACTTTTCAGACAAGTTTAAAAAGACATGCCCTCATGGCCCACCCAACCTCCACAATACCTTTTTCACTTTCGTATTTCTGACTGCAAAATGACGAACAGTATAGCAGGCGTGTACTTTTGTGCTCTTCAGTGTGACAATAATGTTTCCATATTCCTCACTATTCTCTGTTGGCCAGTACTGATCACATTTTCGCTGCAAAAAGAGAAAGGTTATACATGCCAAATGATAATGTTAAACCACAAGAAAGAGTGTCACTTATTTGACTGAAAAATAAGTGCAAGTGCAGACAAATGTGACCTCTGAAAAACTTCATGGCTGGGGAGAGGGAGGGCAAGATCATTTGAGAAATGGGCTCATGCTTATGATTATCTGTGCCTTAAAGAAGGCCTAAGAAATAAACCCATACGAAATGGGCATAGGATAAAGTCTACAGAGAGTTTGAATGCCACTTGAGAGGCCTGGCTGGGTTTCTGAAGGTTCTTGGTAATTAGGAATCTCTGTGTTACAACAGGGGTCACCAAAGGCAAAGCCAGGACCCCACAGTTCAAGTAAAGAGGTAGACATTTTGAGCACTGAACTTAATGCTGGTCTTTATTCTAGCTTACATTAGCACTGTGTAATAGAAGCTCAAGTCCAACACATTCTATAGAATTAATAATTTTTTTAGGGCTGGGGAAATAGTTCGGTGGTCTAAGTGCCTGCCTGGCAAGCGTAAGGACCCACCCAGGTTCAATCCCCAGGACCACAACATGCCCTGCTGGCCACCAAAACTGGACATGGTGGTGCACGCCTGTAATCCCAGTGCTGGAGAGGCTGAGACAGGAGAATCACTATGAGTCTGAGCTGCATAGTGAGACCCTGTATCAAATACATAAAAGATTTTTTTTTAAAGTAAAATTTTTTAACAACGATCTTAATCATGGTTCGGGTGTATAAAGCAGTCTCTGCTTCTTCTAAATGACAGTAAGTTCTTACTATGTTATGTATCTTCTGACTCTTCTACCCTTCCTGTTCTCTAAAATTAGAACGTCCTTCCCTCCTTTTTCCTGCCTGCTTACCTTGTTCTCCTCACAGTTTCCCTCTGAACTCACACTAGCTTCTTTAATGCTGTCCTAGTGAAAGCCAAACATGCACTTCTATCATCACATTTATCTCACACCTGTCATGCTGAAACTCCCTTCCCATCAGACCATAATCAAGATAAAGACAGATGAAACACTTTTCATTTCTGTATTTATACTGGGGCAAATTCCTGTCCTACAGCAGGTACTGGCTGTATCAGTGTTTTGTGAATGAAGGTAGGTTATTAAGATAGAAAGTCAAAAGGCTCTTACTCTTCCTTTCTCCACAAGGTTTGTAATCATGATAATGATTCCTGTATTTTGTTCCCAAATCATTCTCCAGAAATCTTCAAATGTAGACTTTAAAGGTCCCTGGGTGGCAATGTAGGCTTTTGCTCTGTTGTAACCCTTTAAAGATGACACACAACAGAAAGAGATGAGCATAGTTATCAGAGAAGATCAGTTAATAATTCAAGCATCTTCCACACTGAGTAGGCTGGGTTTTTAGTGAAAGCTCTGTGTGGTATTAAAATATGTTCAGCAGTTTCTATTGCAATTTTCAATTTTCAGAAACAGGTTTGTAAAAACATTTATGACTTACATCAACATAGTTTGCATTAATGTAGTCGCTGTGCTTAGAGTCTTTTCCTGGTAAAGGTCTTAACTTCACCCTACTGTGATCATCTATAGAGGATGAGAAGGCAAAAACACAGAGGTGATTTCTTGAAAAGTAGCATTCTAAACACAAAACAAGGCAGTTATGTGAAGTGGCATCTCCCGGAATATCCTGGCATTCTACTCGTGGCAGAGTAAGTACTAAATAGCACATTCAAATCTGTCTCAAAAAACATGGAGCAGGACCGGTGAGATAGCTCCGCAGATTAAGTACCTGCTTAGGCAAGCACAGGATTGGGTTGAGCCCTGGCACCACATGCTGCATCATCCCCAGGCACGCTAACCTGTCCACCAAGTCCAGGCGTGCTGGCACGTGGCTGTAACCCCAGGATTGGGGAGAGTGAAAACAGGAGGATCACTGTGAGTCTGAGCTGTGTAGTGATACCTTGTACCAAATATATTTTTTTAAAAAGTGGAAAAAGGGGGCAGGGGGAGGCAAGAAATGCAAATTAAGGTCCTTATTAGTTTGTATAAAACTACTACCAGTTGCAGTCCTCCAAAGATTCATTGTCTTTTTTTTTAAAAGTATTTAATACAGGGTCTACAGGGTCTCACTACACAGATCAGACCTTTAGTGATCCTCCTGTTTTCAGCCTCCCAAGCACTGAGATTACAGGCATGCGCCACCACGCACAGTCTGCATTTTCTTTTTTAAATCATGTTCAGAGGGCTTCATTACCCAGCCACCCCTCTACCTCCCATTAAGATAGATATAAAAGACAGCTGTTATTTCTGGTCCAGAATATTTTTTTTCAGGAGATTCCCTTGCTAAACTTAGAGACTCCCTGCCATATTTCCACAGAATCTATGTAATTAATTGCAGGAAGTAGAAGTTCATTTCCTAGGGATCTCAACACAAGAAATCAGTGCCCAGATGCTAAGGTTCACTTTTCCTTAGGTTAGGAACAAAGTGAGAGGTACAGTAGTAGTGTATACATCTGTACTTATTCACAGAGTGAGCCTGGAGCTTTAGAACAGCAAGAAGAGTGAAAGGAAGCCCAGCCGTTACTTTCATTTTACCTAGTGAGGAACAGAATGGGCAAGGGCCAGCATTTATTTACATTCGGTCATTATCATCAAAGGTGAGCTCGAGGAGAATCAATCAGCTTGGGGAGACTGGCCTGGGTATTACCTATCTCTGATTACACTAAATCACTTTGACAAAGCCACTTACAGTCTTTGAATTGTGACTTGCTTCTTGTTCTTGTTCTTAGATACATCAACAGGTCATATGAAATGAGCTGCCTATTAAAAATGAAAATTTTGTGGTATACTCCAAGTAAAAATCTTCTGCTTAGGCCTCTGGATATAAACTTGCCTTAGTAGCCATTTGAAGTTGTAAACTTCGCATTGCATGTTTTGGAAGTGGTGTGGTAACATTCATATATACATGCTGGACATTGTATTGGCCCAACGATAGCAGGGCTGGACTGCTTCATGTTTCTGGCACAGTTATACTATGATTTGACTTGTTTCCTGGACATTTTTATACATAACACTTTTTGTTATAAGAAGGCATCAATATAATGGGGAAAATGAAGTGACAGGTGATGCACTCATAATTTGGTCAGGAGAACATAAAAGCTCAACTCTCTGCACTTGGGAAAATAAAGCTACATCTAATTTGAATGTGTGTGAAAATGAGTCTGCATTGAAGCAGAGGGACCACTTTGTAGGCGAACACCATGACCTTGAGGCACATCACGGCCAAGGCATGATCTTCCATCTCTTCCTTCCCACCTAGTTCTAGCCAAAGCAGAAGAGGTCATTAGAAGTTAAGGCTGAAGTAGGAGAGGATGACGTTAGAAAAAAAGAAAACTTTGACTCTTCCTTATTCTGTCTTTTCTTTTTAAGCTTTTATTTCAGCTTTTAGAGAAGTGAAAGGAAGTCCTATGCAAGTTCGTTTTAAAACTTTAGGAAGAAATAAAATTATCTCTATAGATGACATGAATGAATACATATATATATATATATATATTTCACAAAAAGTAATAGGTTCAGTAAGGCCATGTAGGACATAAGATCAATATACAAAAATCAGTCGTGTTCCTTTATTTTGGCATACTGGGAATTGTACCTAGGCCTCACGGATCCTAGCTAAGTGCTGTACCACTGAGTTACATCTGGTCCTCTTCAATTTTCCTGGGAGACAAAGTCTCCCTAAGCTGCCCTAGCTGGTCTTGAGCTCGCAATGCTCTCATCTCAGCTTCTCATGCAGATGTGATTCCAGGTATGTGCTACTGAGCCTGTCTCACAGTATGAGCAATCTGAAAATTAAGTGAACAGTTCATTTACAGTAGCATTATAAAGAATAACATACGAATAAATTAAACCTACATAGGTGGGAAGGTATCTGCCTTCATGGATTACAAGATAATACTGTCACAGTGCAGCTCAGTCTCCAGATTCATTGCATGGTAGGCACTATCAAAGTCTGTGATTCTATTCTCAAATTCATATGGAAACCTAAAGGACCCAGAATAGCACAAACAGTTTTGAAAAACAAGACTGAGAAGTCATCTAAGGGTCTAAGGACTCACAGTTTGCAATTTGAAAACTTGTCACAAAGCTGTCTGTCATTGACACAGTGCAGTACCGGTGAAGGGAGGAAAGCCATACCGACCACCAGATCAGAGGTAAGAACCCAGAAACAACCTATTCCATGGTGGCTGGCTGACCTTCAGTGAGAAAGTAAGACAGTCACATGGAGGAGGGCTTTCGCTGAGGGTACTTCATGGTGTAGAGACCTCCATGTAAGTGGGGGCAGGGGGGGTGGGCTGGAATTGTGGCACAGTGCTGTAGGACGTGCCTGGCATGCTTAAGGCCCTGGGTTCAGTTTCCAACACCATCAGAAAAGAAAGAATAAAGATGGACTACTATCTCAGACTAAATATCAAAATTGAATTGGAACAGATGAAAAAGTAAGAACTAAACTTCATGGACTTCTTATAATTGAGTAAATCTTGGGTTAGTCAATGCTTTCTTAGATATGACACCAAAAGCAGACATCAATAACAAAAATATATGTTGATTTCACCAAAATTTAAAAAATCTGTGCTTCATTGGAACCCATTAAGACCCAGAAAAAGGCAATGCAAAAGAATGAGAGAAAAAAATTTTGCCAGCTATATAGAATCTGCCCTCAGAATAGATGCCATTGATCGCAACATAAAATGATGATTCAGTTGAAGATGGCAAGGGAAAAAGATTACAAGAGGCATTTCTTTAAAGGTAAGTCACAGTAAATACAAGAGAAGAAGCTCAACACCCCTGGTCATTAGGGAGATAAGCACCAGCCACAGTGGGGTGCCACTCCACACACATTTGGGGGCTATTATCAAAAACCCAAAAGCAAATGAGGAAACAAGTTTGGCGGGGTGTGGAGACATCCCTACTTCATATTGCTGGTAGGAATGTAAAGTGGTGCAGGTGCTCTGGAAAACAGTTCGATACTTCCTCAAAAGGATAGTTAGCAGTCTGGCTTGGTAATGGATAGCTGTAATCCCAACACACTGGGAGGCTAAAGGAGCATCAAAAGTTCAAGCACAGCCTGCGAAATTTTGCAAGACTTTCTCTAAATAAAAATTATAGAGCCTGTTCAGAGGAATGTTACTCATAGTAGCCAAGACATGCCTATCCGAGGATAAAGGAATAACGAAAATATATATCCATGCAGAGTGAACAGAGTATGAGGGTAGTGATGCATAGTCTGACATAGGTGAGTCTAAGATACTATGTTAAGTGGCAGAAGCCCGACAGAAGGTCACATCTTATGGAATCTCACATGCAGTGTCCAGACTAAGCAAATCTCTGAGACAGGACATAGGGAAGTGATATCTAGGGGGCTCGTATAGAGGAAGGAATTAGAGGAGCTGCTACCTCACGTGGGGTCTTACTGGGGGTACTAAAAATATTATAATTTTCCAGCTCTGAAAACATATTGAAACCAAATGAATGCTGTACTTTATGTGGGTATATTCTTATATATGAATTACATTTTACTAAAACTTTATTAAACAGAACTTTATGGCTCAAATGTTACACTGTCCAATTTAAATTCACTATTAATTGAAATCCTGTGTAGTGTGGTGTTAACCCGTAATGTGTGTTGCTCCTCAAACAGTGGCACTCTACCTTTTATATCAAAGAGGAGATGCCTTGACGATTCCTTGGCCTGTATTCTTTGAAAAAAGATAGTGGATAATCTGCATAGACTTTACTGGTTAAACATCCCAGTCTGACATCTGCAATGCTCCAAAAATAGGAAAATTTTTGAGCACTGCATCACTTCACAGGCAGTTTCAGATTTCGTATTTTTGGGATTGTAGATTAGTGATGCTCAGTCCATATTGTCTGGCAACAATGCAAGCCCGACATGTTGATGCAACTTGTCCTTCTCCCCACCCAAGAAGCCCATGCTCCTAAGCTGTTCCTTTGGCCTCCAGTTGAAGACTGCCTGTCTGAGTCTAGGACCTCCAGGTGCTCCTGACCTTGGAAATACATTGGGTAGTGCTAACGATGGGGACCAAAGGAAGAGCATATTACCTAGTGTTAGAAGGGCTGCTTCAAGAGCTGGGCCTGGTAGTGCATACCATAATCCCAGCATTCTGGGAGGCTGAGGCAGGAGTGTTCTGAGTTCATATGCAACCTAGGCAACATAGTAAGACCTTACCTCAAAAATTTTAAAATATAGCTCAGAATGAAGGTCCTGGAAAACAGACAGACAGACAGACAGACAGACAGACAGACAGACACACACACACACACACACACACACACACACCCTACCTACTTTGAAACCCAGCTTACTTAATTCAGTTTCTCAAATTTCTGTTTCTATTAAAGCGAGGTGGCTCTCACTGGTTTAAAAATTGTCAAGATAGTCAAGTGGCATTTGCACTTTGGTTCCAAAACTTGATATGCTATCATGTCATGTGGAAATGGTGCAGTTCAGAGCCTTGCTTATATTCACCTTAGTAAACTCTGCCCCATCTGACTGTTTCATGAAAGACCAGGATAACAGAATGTCCCTTCTTCTGCTATACTGCTAGACCTGGGCTCATGAGGTTAGCTTGCAAGAAACATTCTTTGCATTCTGATTTTGACTTGTTGGCTTTTAGTTTATATCTAAGCAAGAAGATTTAACTTCCTTGAAATTGAAGATCAAGGATTATTACTCACATGCTAAAATGTTGATGTATCTGTTTTTGTGCTTGTTATCTGGATGATTGGAATGTTCTGCGGTGATGTTCATATCAGCTGTACAGCGCTGCACCTCCTAGTGACAGAAACAAACAGCAAGACTTCAGATGTGCTTTAGAACGAAAGGAACCACAGGAAGGTCCCAGACTTCTCACATGGTGTTGGTGCTGCTGATGAAAATAAACACAATGGTCTGCCTATCATACAATAGTACTTATAGCTATGCACAGCATACCGTTACTTGATGTTAATCAAAACTGTCTTATTGGCCCTTGCATTTACTGTGCTATTTTTAATCACTATTTTAGAGGTACCCCTACTTACAAAAGGGTACTAGAGACATTAAAAGTTACTAGGTGTTTCATGGTGACAGCATTCTCATACATCTTGTATTTACTGTGTTGTTCAATCCAGTCAGGGAGCCGTGCTGAACCTAGGTCTGTGTACCTGTGGTGTGGTGTGTGTGTATGGTGAATAAAAGAGCATGAGGCATAGGACTCAGAATATGTCCTTTTCAGATATAAAATATCCATGAAAGACAAACATACTTCCTAGCATTGAAGTTGTCATGTCTTCCCCAAAACCCAACTTCAGATATGATGATTACCAGAACCATAACCATTTCCTATGGAGAAAATGAAGAAGGTATAATGATTTTTAAAAAAAAATTTGTGTACTGGGGATCGAACATAGAACTTTGTGCTGGCCAGGCAGGTGCTTATGCTGTTGCGCTATCTCCCCAGCCCATGATTTTTATTCCTAACTCATCAATCAACTTCATTCTAGATTTTCACATAGGCATTGGGAAACAAAAAAATGTCTTTTGAGTGAATAACAGTTCACAAGAAAAAAGATAGTAAGTGCAACCAAGAAGCCTTAAAAAATGATGAGAGGAGAGCTTAAAATAAGAGATGACAGCTCCACTCAGCCTTATAGGGTGACTGGGAATTTGAACAAGTATAGTGTCCACAATCAATTGCTATGTGGTTGGTGCAGGCCTAAGATGCAAGAGACTACAGATTGATTCTAAGGACTCAGTGCTGAAATGACAGCCATGTATGCTCATATCTGGCTCAGATGTGTACCCCTGATACATTAGCTGTGAACGCTACATTTTCTTTAAGTGAACTCCCTTACAAAAAGTAGTGAGTAGCAGTTCAACGGGGAATGATGTGGATCTGCTACCTAAGCCATGGATATAAACATCTTCCATTAAGCCAAATAAGGTACAGTTAAGTTCGTGCCCTATGAACCACTTCCATCCTGGGAGAAGGTTCATTAGTGAGATTCATTCGCACGTCCAAGTGACTCTAGCACCATCTTTGACACAAATACACAATGTAAACCTTTTGAAAACACTAAACCACAGCATCTGCACTGCCTTTCCTCTTGCTCCCAGAACCCTGGGCTCTGACTGAGTACTGCTATATATACTGTCCCACTGTACAGTAAGCACACAGCACCACAGCTGTGACAATGTCTGGCAGATACTGGCAAAAAAAGAAAAAGAAAGCCCACAACAAAACACTACTTCTGTGGTTTGTATGCATTTGCAAATGTTCTTATACAAAGTCAGTATTTGTGAAAGTTTGGCACTTCACTGTAAGTCAGGCACTTACTGTACATGGATGCTGAAAAGCCAAATTTTCTACAGTGCATGATTCAAATTCCAGAAAGTACCGAAGCTACCTAATAAGGGAAGTCATTAGCAGGCTCAGCTACTACAAAGAGCAGGAGAAAGTAACACAGAATTACCAGGAGAAAGGTTTTACACATGGAAGGTATAACAGCTTAGGAGCGTACAGGCTTTTTCACAAAGCAGTTGCATAGCAGTTATGAATATTTTCCAGAGCATTTACATTAGGTACAATAAAAACAAGAAACTGATCTTTTTATATTCACAAAGCACTTTCTAGGGAGAAGACCCCTCTACAAAGGAGGAACTTTCTGCTGTAACCAAAGAAATTAAGGAGTTAAATAGCATTTTTGTGTGTTTTAAGGAACCATGTTCTAAAGATTTTCCAACTATTAGATGCTGTATATATGGAACTTTTCAAAACTGTAGGCCTTCTCAGCTATCCATTAAAAACAAAATCCCCACAGGCATGAATTTAACCCACCTCTTTGGGAAAAAGTTATTTCATGATAGTTGTGGTCTGCTTCATATATATGTGATAAACTCTGCTATTTTCTCTTCAATTCTGAAATAGTCTAAAACCTATAGCTTCATAAATTCTACTTTAAAGGGCCTCAAGGCTGCATTTGGTTTTCTAAACTGAGAGAAAGTATGGGCACAATGTAGTGAGTCATATGTTAACATTAACCACAACATAAGCCATGCAGAACACGCTCAGAGCATGGGATCTTTTGGAACTCTCTTAAAGCATGTTGTAAGTCAAAAGACAGAAAATGTTTGAAAATATATTTGTATTCTAAAATATACTAATTCAATCTATATGTAAGTCCTAGAAATAAGCTG